TGGTGTTCTTCTACTAGCAATGTTAACTGTATATCTTGGCAACAGAACAACTGATTTTCAACCTGAAAGCTGATTTACAGTTATGATGCATATAATATCTTTACTCTTGATTAGGGGAAAAAAAATATCTTAAGTGCAAATAATCAAATTTAAAGGTTGGACAACCAGGGGTACCTTTCCTTGTGAATTGGCTTTTAATTATTAAAACATGAAGTTCAATTGTATTATCTGTGTGGTTCCTGTCAATACCATGTATCAGAATAGTCTAGTTGGAATGAGATTCACAGTTTGATTAATATCTAGGATAAAATATAAATAAAGTTATTCAAAAACATTAAACCATCTTTCCTTACTAGTTTATCAAACTTACCTCTTTTCATATTCAAAGGACACATTACAAGTAAGAATGTAAGCATCCTTAACATATTTCTTCATGTCTGGGTGACGAGCACCATGATCCAAAACTAGTCCTTTAATCAATGTACTATCATGTTCTGTTTTGTGCATCATTTCAATGATCTCAATCATGTGCAGATCTAATGAGGAGCCTTCTTGTTTAACGGACAGCACGGCATCTACACACACCTGATTTTCATAAGTTAGAACAATTTATTTTTCACCTTAACTATATAATTTTATTTTGAATGTACAAATCATAGACACTAACACAAAAAATAAATATAAGTCACTACTCTAGTGTTAATAACAATTCATTCTTAATCAAAACAAAGAACATTCAAAATTGCATGCCATATTTTTTTTTATCACATATTCAGTTTAAAACACCAATTCTTCTCAAGAAATAAAACCATATTTTAAAGTTTAAAAAAATACATCAATTTTTAAACTTTGCACAGCAGACTAGAAGATTGAAACGATGTTTTAAAAAGACAAACTAATCAAAAAGAAAGTTTTAGTATAATAATTCATTGATATAAGAATCTGTTATACTCTATTCCAAAACCACAATGAATTCTAAGTTATACTATCTTCTGGAATTCAAAGGACTTACCTCAGTAAGACGATCGGCTAAATCATGGTGAACTTTTGTTCGAAGAGAGGTCCGAGCAACACTAAGGAGTGTATCCCTGTCCATTTCCTTGATCACTTTTATATTTTCCAACACCTCAAGAGCTTTATTTTTAGCCAAATCTAACCCCTCAGTTATAAGTCTTGGATGTAAACCCTAAAAATGAAAAAACTTTAAATATATCACAACTGTGGGCAACTTTCCAAGACTTTACAAAGTTGAAGTGTTGATAAATATGCTATGCTTTTCAGAAACTTCACATAAACATTTTTTTTTGAAGTACTATCAATGACTGAAACTTTGAATGTTAAATGTTCTCTTATCACAGTATGGCATGAAAACTATATATTGCATCACTGATCCAAGAGGCTTTCCTGAGATATCTTGAACACAAATAAAAGATGCATGATATCAGGTTAGGCTTTTACATTTTATTGAAATATCAATATATTGAACTGTCTCAATTTACAATGTAAAACATAGGGGTACTTTAACTCTCTCAATATATGGGCTCAATCAATTTGACTGACCACGTTCACTCTTTGTACTTGTTTAAAGTCTTTATACATTTAATACTTCTAACTTTCAATATAATGTGTACATCTTCACAAAATTTGGTACTTTCAGTTAATATTATAAGTCTTTCATACACAAAAAAATCACATTTTTTAATGAAGCATTTTTGATAAAATAAAATATAGATTTGTCCATGAATATATCGAGTATTTGTTTAGAATAGACCGAGTGCAAAGTAATTTCCATGTTAAAATTCAAAATACTTATCCTCATCTCAAATTTCCTTTGTGTAATCCCTAAAAACCTCCTACATGTATTTCAACCATCAGTAAAATTTATAGTTTATCTATTATTTTCTCCACATTATCTTAAAACTGAATGGGTCAATTTGACTAACCTCATGAACACCAAAAATAAATCTAAATTACTCCTTTTTTTCTATTTAGAATGACTTCAAATTGTAATGTGAAACTACATTCATTTATCCTAAGTAGCTCTAAGTTCATAACATTATACATCTTTTTATAATTAAATTTTATTGCCCCTTGAACCGTGTCTAACTACTATTCATGCCATTATAAGTTGTAAATCACCCACCAGGAAATGTGCAGCTCACGTGTGCCTCATGAAACATTTTTATTATAATATTATTATTATTTATTTTACCTAATCTAACCTTAACTAACCTAAAAGGATTCCTATTTTTACATTTTAGTTACTTTTATAATTAGACAAAGAATAAACGTGAAAAACAAGAAATAAAATACTTAATCTTTTTTCTTACTGTCATTTGTCTAAGAGAGTTAACCCTAACTTTTTATACTAATGATAGTAATGCACTTAATTTTTATTTAATTAAATAATGCACCAAAGAATATGGACTAACAATATGCCAAAAGTAGACCAATTCCCTATGTTTAAAATTTTTCTGGCTTTCTAACTAAGCAACAAGAGTAGTTACAAATTCACCCAAGCTAGTCATTAACTTTCTCGTGGGAACGATGTTGGTACTCTGAGTGAAACTGCCAAGTAGGCATGGCAGGAGGGATCTGATTTTTTATTTGATAGCTCTGTAACCAAACACGATTGAAGACTATAAAAATTATGATTTGTCTGAACAATGATGATTTTATAGAGTAATTTACACTTAATATCATACCTTTTTGAG